CGGAGATTAATATATGCAGGTGCCTTATGTTTCACCCTAGATGTGCGCGCAATGTGAATGCTGCTTGCGTTTCTGACTCATAAAAGGTGAAAAAGAAAGTTGAAATCATTTGATATTTACCTGTGGCATCGCTCCCACTTAGAAATGTATGATATAATGAGAAATGAAACAGAAGGTGTACTAAGGGTGGTATTAACGAGTACTATAAACTGAGATTCATTTTTCTAAATTGAAAAAATAAAATCTGAATCTACCAAATGTCATCAATACCATTAGCTAGCTTCAAACATAACAAGACTTTCAGTTAGTGAGAGTTTTGTCCTTACTATGGCCATTCTAAGTTATTTTAAACTGACAATTTATTCTCGTGAAGATTAGTGAGAATAATGGTTCCAAATGATAGATTCGCTTTAATAGAAACAATTCGGAAAGATTTTTAAATGAAGCCTATCCAGAATGTTCGTTTAGGTTGCCTTAACTTGACTTTTATTACATTGTAAACTTCAAGATAGCTGTGACCATGTAATGAGATATAGCAAGATAGTCAATCAAGGGGTGTCAACGGGGTAATGATGGGAGAATATATATCAAAGTCAAGAGTCAAAGGTCATTTGAATTCTATGAGCATTCATTTGTCTGCTCTCTCAAAACCATGTACCTCACATTCAAATTTTCAACTTTTCATAATTTATTCCTTGGGTCTCTGGGTATTTCCTTGTCCACACTTGCCAGAGGTTGGTGGTTAGATAATTGGTTGAGTGCTTAAGCCATATCGGATTATTCGCGTATTATTACAGACATTAGATAATAGAAGAGATTGTCGAGAGTGCTTTAAACGTAGTGGTACAAAGATTGTCAAGAAAAAAAGCCTACTTAGCAGGTTAACGACTTGATCAAGATTACTGTCAACACAGTCATTTATAAGGTATCGCTATTTTAGGCATTGCATTGAGAATTAACAGCCATGAAAGTGTCAACAAATAGCAGAAAAGGCCAAGCTGTTTATCAGCGGGAAAATAAGACGTTTCGCAAATGCAAATAATGAGATTTAATTTAAGTGGACAATAGGGTAATGCTTCGTTTGAAATCTGAGTGTTTAGCATTTACACCATTTGAATTCATTTGTACATTGCAAGGCTACATAATTATTTCATGGTATAATATACAAACAGCTGATCTATCTGCCTCGGAAAACGTATCTTGAAATCAAATTTACCAGAACGAATCTTCTTGAAAATTGTGAAGCCACCAAAGCATCGCCATCCGTAAAGATTTTTTCTTGCAATTTCAAATCTAGGAACCTTTTTGTCCGTTTCAATTACGAAATGATCCATTATTCAAACAAAAATATTCTAGGCTCATCATCCCCATTATTAATCCACCTTATCATATCCCTTTACAACCAGTAGGCAGTGTTTGTGGTAGTATTGTCCACTTTTATTTCAAATAAATGAATTTAAGAAGAAGTTGACTTTACGAAATATTCTCACTCCTTCCCCCC